TATATATATATATATATATATATATATATATATATATATATATGTGTATGTGTGTGTGTGTGTGTGTGTGTGTGTGTGCGCACATATTATTAAAATACTTCAATATAAATAAATAAAAACTGTATATGTAAAATAAAATACAATATATTAAAATATCAATAAATAAATAAAATACCTTACATTTTTTGAGTTTGTGGTTAGTCCTTTTGTTCAAACAATGGAAGACAGAATGATGGAAACCTGTTTGAAAACAATTAAATAATAATTTATTGAAATAATATATCATTACATAGTGAACTGCTACACTGTCACATGACCTCGTTACATTATTGAATTAAGTTGAATGCACTGCATTGTGGGATACACTCTAAAAAAAGCTTGGTTAAATACAACCCAGCGCTGGGTGAAATATGGACAAACCCAGCAACTGGGTTGTTTTGACCCAGCGGTTGGGTTAAATGTTTAACCCAACCTTCTAGGTAGTTACCCAACCGCTGTCAAATAGCTGGGTTTGTCCATATTTTACCCAGCGCTGGGTTGTATTTAACCCAGCATTTTTTAGAGTGTACATTCTAATGCACCTCAGTTTTTGAGCGAATATTGCCAAAATTATCCACCAATGATGCTTTTTTTCACCTAAAAATCCATGAACTCATATATATATATCAGATTTCAGGTACCATTTTCTGGATGGGACTACTTGTTTTGTCCAAACAAATGCAAGACAGAAGGAGGGCGACCTGTTTGAAAACAATTATTGTTATTATTGAAATAATTGTATTATTTTAGAAATTTCCACACAGAATGGGCATGACATTAACTGGCACTTCAAGGTGGTCTCCAGTTGAACTAGCTGGTCTAGTTTGGGTTTTTCAGCACGATAAAGAGGGAGGAGGAGGATAAAAGAAAGCGAATGATCGAGAGAGAAATTTCAAGAGCGATAAAGAGATACAAAGAGATCAAGCGGGCGCTGAGGGAATGGGCTCTTTGAGGCATGACTGCTCCAGGTAGCTGAAGGTGTCCGTCAACCGGGCTGAAGCAAGTCCAGACAGGGCCATTATCTCTGATCCGGCGTGTTCCCTCCTGACCGAGCCCAGATCCACACTGAGAGAAAGAGAGGGAGAATTTAACCCACTGCCATGATTTCATTTCTCTACGTGACTGATTATTTCCCTGACTGAACAGTCCTGTCAAAAGTCATTTGGCGCGAGCAGACATATTAAGAAGATCGATTTCCCCCGGACGCTCGAGGCGCCAGACCTCAGGACCACTTAACACCTGCGTGAGAGCGGACGGACTGCGCTTTACCTGTAACCTTGATGTCAAGCTGGAAAAAAGGCTATTTGGAAACAAGAGGCTTTGATTTAGATCCTTTAAGTGTGCTGCCTCCTCTGCTTTGTATGTACAACATGCACCAGAAGCAGCTTTTCAAAACATAGAAAGCATGAATTTTACTAATGAATAACCAAGTAACATATCTATATTAATAATTATGCTTTTTTGAATGTGCTTTTAAAAGCAGCAAAGGTATCAAGTTAACGGTACATAAACATAAATGCCAGTGCATTTTTAATATTTACAAATGGAATAAGTAAAAACAAGATTATAAATGCAGTCTGTTGTAAATCCTCTTATTTAGCAACTAACGCTGCCGTCTTGGGAAGCTGCTACTTAAAGGAATAGTTTACCCCAAAAATTTAAATTATTCAATGAAAAATGAAATTACTCACCCTCAGGTCACCTAAGATGTACAGTAGATGAGTTTGTTTCTTCATCAGATTTGAAGAAATGCAGCATTACATCTCTTGCTCACCAGTGGATCCTCTGCAGTGAATGGGTGCCGTCAGAATGAGAGTCCAAACAGCTAATATGCACACCACTTCATTTCATCAATTAATGTCTTCTGGCAAAAATATAAGTCCATAATCCATAATAACGCTTTCTCCAGTAAAAAAAAGTCAATTTACTGTTGTCCTCTGACATTAAAATTCACTGAAATACTCGTTTAGAGCTGTTTTGCACTGTTTAATTGATGGACTGGAGTGGTGTGGATTACTTGTGCATTATTGTGATGGTTTTATCTGCTGGTTGGTCTCTCATTCTCATTCTGACGGCACCCATTCACTGCAGAAGATCCAATGGTGAGCAAGTGATGGAATGCAGATGTAATGTAACACTACATTTCTGCAAATCTGAATTGAATGAATTCTCATTTCTCCAAATGTGTTCTGCTGATGAAGAAACAAACTCATCTACATCTTGGGTGGCCTGAGGATGAGAAAATGTTCATTTGAACTATTACTTTAAGAGTTTGTCAGTCTCTCTTTTGCAAATCCCTATAAACACAAGCTTTATACAACTACACACCAACAATTCATAAAATGGACACAAACTACATAAAGTAAACATTTACGATCAACACCAATTAGCTTCCTGCATGATCCTGTTTTAAGTTTTACAATTCACAAGTGAACACTGCAAAGAACACTATATTCCACAATGCAATGCACTCATTAAGTTGGAAATTTAAAAAAAATTATTAAATACTCGTTTAGAGCTGTTTTGCACTGTTTAATTGATGGACTGGAGTGGTGTGGATTACTTGTGCATTATTGTGATGGTTTTATCTGCTGGTTGGTCTCTCATTCTCATTCTGACGGCACCCATTCACTGCAGAAGATCCAATGGTGAGCAAGTGATGGAATGCAGATGTAATGTAACACTACATTTCTGCAAATCTGAATTGAATGAATTCTCATTTCTCCAAATGTGTTCTGCTGATGAAGAAACAAACTCATCTACATCTTGGGTGGCCTGAGGATGAGAAAATGTTCATTTGAACTATTACTTTAAGAGTTTGTCAGTCTCTCTTTTGCAAATCCCTATAAACACAAGCTTTATACAACTACACACCAACAATTCATAAAATGGACACAAACTACATAAAGTAAACATTTACGATCAACACCAATTAGCTTCCTGCATGATCCTGTTTAAGTTGAATTTTTTTCATGCATTAAATATATGTACAGTTTTACAATTCACAAGTGAACACTGCAAAGAACACTATATTCCACAATGCAATGCACTCATTAAGTTGGAAATTTTAAAAAAATTATAATTTGATTGGCCTGCCAAAACATTTAACACTTTGCCCAAAATTAGATTTTAAAAATCAACATAGCTCAACCAGACTCTATAAAACATGCATGTTACCAAATGTTAGTTTGACTATCAGAAGCAGTACTGGTTTAGGACCAAAATGAAGCTTTTACTATTAATAAAGAGAAAAGCAATAATCCAGAACATGGGAACTTGAATAATTGGAACCAAAGACTCACCAATCATACAGCAACAAATCACACAACCTGAAGAAATATGTAAATCCCTAAGAAAACATGCTGATTTAATGAGACTAAAAACAAACACCCAGACACTATTAGACAGAGATAAATGAACAAAGTCATGACAAGAACAATTTCAAAATAAAAGACACTCTAAATAAAGAAAAAAGAAATAAAGGTGCCATAAATAATAAAGGTTAAAGGTAATAAAGGTTATAATGGTTAAAGAAAAAAAAATAAAGGTTCCAAAAAGAGGTTTTACAATAGAAGAACCATATTTGGTTCCCCAAAGAACCTTTCAGCAAACAGTTTTCATAAGAACCTTTTTTTTCTAAGTGTGAAGAACATTTCAATGATCTAAAGAACCTTTTTTCACTATAAAGAGCTTTTTGTGGAATGGAGACATTCCATGGCTGTTAAAAGTTGTTCATGGAACCACGGATGTCAATAAAGTTTTATTTTTAAGAGTGTAAACAAAGCACACTAAACCTGTACTATAAACAACACACTTTTTTATGCAGTATGTATTCTGTGAGCATTTTTTAAATTATTGGTTGTTGCCCAGTATGCAGTACATAGTACTAGACCTTAAAACAGGGGTCACCAAACTTGGTCCTGGAGGACTGGTGTCCTGCAGAGTTTAGCTCCAACCCTAATCAAACACACCTGAACCAGCTAATCAAGGTCTTGCTAGGTATACTAGAAACTTCCAGGCAGGTGTGTTGAGGCAAGTTGGAGCTAAACTCAGCAGGACACCGGGCCTCCAGGACCGAGTCTGGTGACCCCTGCCCTAAAACGTTTATCACTAATGCATATTTTTGTGTTCTTGTTTTATTTCATAGTTTCCAATCTCCAGTAAAAGCAAGCCTACACTGACTATACATATTACGTTTGTAGTGCTTTATCATTTAAGAAGGTATTTTTCCAAAGTATCAGCAGTTGTTGACTTTGTTTAAAAACCAACCACAAACTCACATAAACACACTCACTCACCCTTTCCCACCACATACACACACATGGTTGGATCCATCTGATTGCATTTGATTTTTCAAATCCAGTTGTGGATGTGACAGATAAAAGGGTGTGATGCACTTCTGGGCTGCTTTGTGCCTGTATCAGCGCTTAAAACCTCCCGTCCAAAATGCTGCGTGTAAATATTTGATGCTGCTGCAGCTCGTTCTGGGCTCTTCTGGAGAGTTCTCTGTGTTTGGTTAGAGCACTCCACACTAAAAGCTACAAGTTACAAAAAGACAAATACAAGGAAACGGCTTATGAATTAGAAATCATACCGTGTGCTATAAAAGCACATGGCCCATCTTCAACTCATATTGTGTTTTTTATGGGGCATTCAGAGCAGATGCTCATACACAGCTGCATACTGTATGCAAAGATATGACACGACCTCCTGCACACACATTCACAAGAATTAACACAACCCCTTCATACACGCATGCACACCTCCTATAGATAGATACATGCAGACAGAGAAAGAAAGAAAGAAAAATAAATAGATGATGGATGGATGGATGGATGGATCGACAGACAGACAGAGAGATGATAGATAGATAGATAGATAGATAGATAGATAGATAGATAGATAGATAGATAGATAGATAGATAGATAGATAGATAGATAGATAGATAGATAGATAGATAGATAGATAGATAGATAGATAGATAGATAGATAGATAGATAGATAGATAGATAGATAGATAGAAGGACGGACGGACGGACAGACAAACAGACGATAGATAGATAGATAGACAGACAGACAGACAGACAGACAGACAGATGATAGATAGATAGATAGATAGATAGATAGACAGACAGACAGAGAGATGGACGGATAGACAGACAGACAGACAGACGATAGATAGATAGATAGATAGATAGATAGACAGACAGACAGAGAGATGGACGGATAGACAGACAGACAGACAGACGATAGATAGATAGATAGATAGATAGATAGACAGACAGACAGAGAGATGGACGGATAGACAGACAGACAGACAGACGATAGATAGATAGATAGATAGATAGATAGACAGACAGACAGAGAGATGGACG